ATGAATTGTGCCAAAAGTGCCTCTGAGAATGAAAGTGCCAAAAATGGAATATTGTGCCTACTTTTCCATCACTTACCTCTGTTTAGCATGGTGGTGTTCATGGTCGCAGAATTAGCAACACGTGTATAACAATCAGCTGATTACAAATTTGTATAGGTAAATCCGCCTTGGGTACATCAAAACTAAACAAAGTGATAATTTGATCTTATTCATTTTTTAATTAGAATATTTATTCTATAGAAACACAGACCATGTCGGCGAATAAGAAGAAAAATATTATTGCTATGGAAGAAGATTCAGCTGATAATTCAGACAGCTCAAGCGAAGATGATGGGACACATCCTGATGCCTACACGGGCAATGAGGTTTGCAAGAAATTCATAAAATTGAGAAACTTATCCATTCTTCAAAATTATGTTAGGAAGTTGAAGTCGATTTTGAAGGGCGTGCACCTACTGATCCCGATCGCCATGGCATATCGCAGCTGCTACAAAGGATTTTTCTTAAGGCGCCTATCGACACCATGCAAATGGCAGAAATGATAATTGGTATGACATTTAAAAGACTTTATAGCTGCCTCTGTTGTTTATGCCCTTTTTAGGTCAAAATTATGTAGGCAGCGTAATATGTCAGTGCGAACAGGATGGTGCAGAGAGTGACGTGGACGATGATATGGTTGAAGACGGCACAATATTTGGTATTACAACGGTCGTCAACATGACTGCGAAAAAGGATGTAGCATGTGTAGAACAACTCCGTGGATACATAGTGCAGCGCGCAGAAAAACATGCAACAGATGCAGTTTTAACGCATTTCCGCGATGTACTTGGCAATGAGGGACGACCGGTTGGTTTCCTAATCAATGAGCGTTTTATAAACATACCTGCCCAAATTTCGGTTCCACTACTGGAAAATTTACATAAGGAAGTGTTGGCAGCCAAACAGAAAGGAATGAAATTTAATTTTAGCTATTATTTGATGATTGTGAAATTGTATCGTAAAGAGGCACGAAAGGGGAAACCTACCGAGGATACATTTACCAATGCTGAAGAGGAGGTGATATGTTCCAAAGCAGTTAACTCCTTTGAGTTTTCTGTGGTCGACGAATGCGATGTGGGTATGAGTGGAGATTGGCTGGAAGGTGATGCGACGCTAACACCTTATAGAAAAATTATTTTGTTTGATGCAAAACAGCTACCAGAATTGATTGACGATGTACGAAACTTTATTAACGGAGTATAATTTAAAATTGCATTCATTTTTTATATCTGATAATCAGGCAGGTTCGGTAATTCACTTTCGAGTGAATTTCAATTTATTCGCTTTGAATACAATCAATCATCGGGAGTGAATTGCAGAATCGGCATGAATATATGTATACGTTTTTGCTATTTTAAATGTAGGGATGTTATTTTACATATTAACGTTTTGTGAAAATGCTATGTATATATGTATTTCAACTTAAAGTCTTGGAGTGGTATAGAAATATTTTGCAAGCTATCTTCCGGATTTTTCTGATTGAATATAGAGCCTGTCAGATGTGGTAATGCAATAATTTTCAAAAATGTCAAATAAATAAATAAATATATTTAACACACTACATGCTAATTTTTTATTAAATAAAACAAAAAAAAATATTACGTGTGAGATATATATGAACAAGTAAGAAAGCCTAAGTTCGGGCAGAGCCGAACATTAAATACCCGGCGCACGTATTAAATATATGTTTTTCGCCTTACCGAAAGCTACGGCTATATGGTAAGCCGGGGCGTATCAATTTTGAGTAAATTAGAGTCCTTAGATTTCGAAATTTTGAAGTTCAAGCAGTTCTGAAATTTACCGTTATATGAGAAGCGGCCGTTATTTTAGTCCGATTTCAATAATTTTCAACGGTTTGCTTATATGTGGCAAGCACAATAACCACACCGAGTTTGGTACAAATTGGTAGAACGGTTACTGAGATACATATATGTGATCATAAGTGGGCGGTGCCACGCCCATTTTCCAAAATTTTATCATAAACGTATTTCTTGGTAAAGAATTGTTGCAAGCATCAATTTTGAATAAATTAGCTTCAATATTTACTGATTTATCGAAGATTTTGTATTTCTCTAAATTACCGTTATATGGGATGTGGGCGTGGTTATCGTCCGATTTTAAAAATTTTAGGCGATTTTGTATGCTGTACCAGGGCCGACAACTGTGCCAAGTTTGGAAGAAATTGGTGCAGCGGTTACCAAGATATACACATGTAACCATAAGTGGGCGTGGCTACGCCCATTTTCCAAAAATGTATAATATTATTATTTTTTGTCAAAAAATTATTGTAAATACCAATTTTGAGTGATTTATCTTCAGTAGTTACTAAAATATCGCAGTTTTCGTATTTCTGGAAATTACCGTTACATGGGAAGTGGGCGTGGTTACAGTCCGATTTCGCCCATTTTCAATAGCAACCTACCTTGGATTAAGGGAAGCCTACATACCAAATTTCGTTGAGATATCTCAATTTTTGCTCGAGTTATCGTGTACACGGACAGACGGACAGACGGACAGACGGACGGACGGACAGACAGACATGGCTTAATCGATTTCTTTTTTCATCCTGATCATTTATGTATACATTTGTCTATATCTATCTCGATTCGTTTTGGCTGTTACAAACAACCGTTATGTGAACAAAATTAATATACCCTTGTGCACAAGTGCGCTCGGGTATAAAAACATATTCGCTTGGTGGCGAAAACGAAACGAGAAAAGAGCGTCAAACGAAAGGTGGAAAAAGTTAAACATGTCGCAGTGCTGCCAAAAAATTCTATTGCTTATAGCTAAATTCTTCAAAAAGTAGCTAAACAAAATAGCTAAAAACATTTTTTTCCCAAAAATAGGTACATAAATTTAATAATTAGATTATTATAACGTAGACAAATATGAGCATACATTGAATTGGAGTAGCAAAATACCTTATAATTGTGACTAGTAAATATTTTTAATGTTTTGCTCAAATCTGCAGATCTTTTCCTACACCCACAAAGTTTTCTCTTTCATTTGGTATCCACATTGTTATTCTACATTGCACTGGATTTTTTGAAGTAATGATATCATTGAAATTACAAGGCCCTTTAATAAAAACCTGACGTAAGAGAGGAACGACAAACACAGTTTTACTATACTTTCGTAAGTATATTGATTACTTTTTTTTTTTGCTAAAACAGCTAACTCGAATAAAAAAAGCTTCAAAAGTAGCAATAGCTAAACACAAATTTCTAAAGCTAAACGTTGGAAATAAAAGCTAAATGTAACCACAAATAGGAATGATTTAATCAAGGTCGTTTGTATATTGAATTCCCCCAAATCCAAAGCCATTACCCGATTCCCCCGAGAAATTCAAATTCCACCGAAATCGGAGAATTCTCCGGAGCGTCGCATCACTGATGAACAGTCACACCTTGCAGGTGAAAATATTTCTACGTCTGAGGCTCTGTCACACGATCAGTAATTATCACGATATTTGGATCGCGATCCATATTGGTGGATCGCGCACCAATGCTACATGTTCATCNTATTGGTGGATCGCGCACCAATGCTACATGTTCATCATTTATCACGTCAGTATTTGCATAATTTTTGTGCTGAATGCTTATTATGGCGCAAGAAAATGTTTTTATTTTGTACGTATAATTTACAGATAATGCATTCCACAATTATTTTAAAGTTTCCAATGTTAATTAAAATTTATTTTGAAAGATTTTAAGCCTCGAGAGCGAAGGCAGAGCCGATGTTCGCATTATGAGAGTAAAAGATGTACTGACGAAATGTATGGATAGCGGGGTTTGAAAGTGCTACACGTTCAATATTTATTGATAGTATTGCGATCCGCGATCCAGATTTCAAAATTTTTAGAAATTTTGCGATATGGATCACGATCCATCAATACTGCATGCTACACCGTCAATAAATATCGCGATAGTTGGATCACGTCAATAAATACTGACCGTGTGACAGGGCCCTTACATATGTGTTAAAAACCTAGTGCGTTCCAGAACGTCTAGGATATGCAGGATTTAGTCCAAAGTAGCGATGCGCAGAGAGAGCTTTTGCTCTGCTCGCGCCTATACAGAATGTAGAGAAATTTTAAAAGAACTTGGCCCGCGGGCAAGGCTGTGCTCATCAGTGGTCCAAAGTCATTCCCGTACGCTACGTTCACATAAGGTTTATTAAAAGCTGTTCATGTTAAACCCGAAAATCGTGAAGTACGGGAACAGGCTAACCGGCTTTTTTGGCTGGCCCTTTTGTGATCGGCTTACAACACTGAGTCGAACAGCTGTTGACACAATCGCATGGTTGCAATTTTTCACACGAAGAAGAAAAAAGGGTTCGCATTTATAGATTTCATAACTTTAACTAACAACCGGTTCACCACTCTCGCATTTCACCTGACGACATTTGCGTAATAACCAATTCATGACAAGTTCATTTCACCATTTCTTGTTTTATACTATACCTGGTTCACGGTTTTACGGTGTTTATATCAAAGAATATAGAAAACAAAGAAGATGCATAGTAGTAGCTCACGTTCCAACAAAGCGCGGCTACTTCACCCCTCGGACGATTGTCTTCAATAGCAAGTAACCAGCCGACTAGTGAACTTGCTCCTTGTGCTCTGGTATATACTTCCAGGCCAGCATATTTCACCACCCTTGCTATTAACCGGGCTACTAACCTTGCTTTTTACCACTCTAGCTAATAACCGGTTCAAGACTAACGTACCTGTACATAAAAATTACTAATTTTTTACAGTGCACCGGTAAATGTAGTGATAAAAAGAGTTGGACAAGAAATTGCATCAAATTAATTTTGGAACTTCACTTTCATATTCTTTGAATAGTAGATTACTCATTGCAGTTTAATTTCAGAGGTAAGCAACTACGAGTGAATGGTAATCAAAGTTCAGCATGAATAAATTCGGCCGCAGTAGACTTCGATAGGCACTCTTTTGGCATGTGGTTTGTGCGTCTTGAGTTGTATAAGCCCAACTGATAAGGAAACCCATATGGCATTTCTCTCATTGGCTTATATGTAAAATTGCTAATCTCTGGTCCCCAGCTCGGCTTCTATAAATGCAAATTTTTTCTCTTCTGCTCATTAGTCTTGTCTTCTCATTGCAGTTGGCTCTTGTTTGAATCCAAGTTTTAGTAATACGGAGACAGTCTTACACTATTCACATCGTGACGCAGAGCTTTTTGGTTGGCCAAAAGAAAACCGGCTTTTAAAAAAGTATTTGAAATAAGCGAACAAGAAGCACTTGTTTGTAGCTGCTTTACAAGGAGAAAGTGCACTTCTACCTTCCGCCATGGGAATTGATAGGCAAGTAAATTTTAAGCTAAGTATCTAGTTATATATCGTCACCTAAAATGCAAAACGATGTAACAACATCTTAGGTAAATGAAATGGAAAAAGTCGTAAAAATATTTTAATTTTTTTTCATAAAATTATCTGTGTTGTAATTCGATGAAATTCATCATATACATAGGTATGTAAGTAAATCAAGGTATTTTGTTTTTATTGGTCTTATTTCAACGATGATGTTTGTTACGTCTTTTTTGCATTTCAGGTGACGATATGTATTGTAGCCTGCGTCAATAAAACTGCATATTCGCACTCACACGGGCTATTGGAATATCTACTTAAATTTTTACTTTGCTATGGCGGCTTTAAATATTAATAATATGTAGTCGAATCGCTCTCTCACTCAAATGAATTAATCAGTCGGAAGATAAACCGGCATCATAAAAATATTGCAGCAGCAAAGTAATCTACGCCGCTACAGCCGGTTTGTGGCTGCCTTGGAATACAATGGCTCGAAATTGTTTTATTGGAATATTCAGTTAGGCACTAATCGTTGTCGTTAGTGGTTGGTTTTATACATTTTGTTAACACATTTATTTTCTTAATAAAATCCGTTAACATGGTTACTGATACGTGAGTGCTTTTTGCTTAACTTAAATTGCAGTTTATCTCGTACCAAAAGTGCAGTGTTAAAAACAATAACACATATTATGACAAATTAATTTTTCACTTACATATTTCTAACAACAGGATTGATTTCATACGCGTATGAATATATGTTCCATGATATATATATGTTCTGTAAAATCTGTTTAACGCTGTCATTTAAAAATTCACAATAAATAGTCAGCTAGTATAGAACGAAAATTCCGTAAAATTCTACAGATTTTTTTGTTTTAATGCTATTTATGCGGTCTGCGTGATNTTATTGATAGATATGTACATATGTACGTGATACGTGTGTAGTAAATAATTGCCCAGTTGGTTTTCTAAGAAAACTACATATACAGTAAATCCACAAAGTTTTGGTACAGTGGTTTTTTTTGCAAAACTGTTTTTTAATTATTTTATGTTTTGCAATTTTTTATAAAAATATGGTTAGTTTTACGACCAAGACCCCAAAAAGGCGAGCTCTTTGCAAAATTAAAGAAAAAAATTGTCATCTTTCACACAGATTGTTTTTTTTAGATCATTATTTACCATATTTTTGCTATTACCAATCAAAATTTTAAAAAGCGGATTTTCGGCCCATGCTAATATCCATATATGCATTATTGATTACCCAAAGATTAAAAAATCCACCTTCTTAATAAAAATTCTATATCAACTAAGTGCTGCTATGTGAACTGACTAATTGCAGATAAGATTAGATTTTATAAGATGTAAACTCAGTTAGACATTCCATTCAGCATTTATTTATGTATTTTTAAATATATACAGTGGCTGCAGCAAATAATCGGTCAACCTCTATTTTCATAAAATCATTGTATAAAGCATAGTATACACATCTCAAGAAAAAGCGCGCAATAGTGAAAGGCATTTTCTTCTATAAAATTTTTTTAAATTGCAACTTTCAAGAATCTAATGCTCATATACTTATTATATATTTATGTATGTATTTCTTCAATAAAATTTAGACACAATTTTGTTGTAAATAAGAAAACGCCATAAGCTTAAACATAAGAAAAATCACACGAATTTTTTAAGGTACTCTACACGGATGCGAACATATTCAATGTACATATGTACATTTAATACTGCCAAGTATTGAACTTAAAATAACCAAAATTGGTTCAGTCGAAGTTTAAAGCAGTGTAAAATATGTATGATCATACTTTGTAATAATAAACACCTGCACAAATATGCGGATGCTTAAAAATATATGCACATATGTACATACATATGTATGCCAATTCGAGATATATGTATGTACATACATACATATTTTTCTCATGCATGCATGACATGCGTGTGTGCCTCTGTTGGTTTTAATAATTCGCTTTACGCCTCCTTTCTGGACTGATAAGGTAATCAGTAGCATTTCATTTGTGCTCATAAATTATACTATAGAATATACGGCATGGCATATAAAGGTTTATTGTTTATGACTTATACCTACATACATATACATATATGTATTTACATGAGGAAATGAGTATGTGCAAAAAAGCCTTTAATTGTAAATGCTATGCATATCTACATACATACATACATACATACATAAAACACAAATGGAACATTTCGCACAATAAAGTGTTGATTGGTTTGATAAAAACGTCCACTTGCTGCATATACATACGTATGTATATACATATGTTGGTACATGTGCGCTATATTAATAAGTATTTATAGGTTTCACCATGCTATCGCTACATGTAGAAGTATTGTGGATTGTGTTTCTAAACTTCTTTCACCTTGAACTTAAAAAATTGGATAATTGAATGCCATCTTTAACTTTTCTCCCATGCTATCAGATTGCTTCCTTGCAGCGTCAAAATTGCAAAGCTGATTCAAAAGTCCAGCTGTGATGTAGTCTGTATTATCGATCGCCAAGTGCCGGCGGAGTTGGCGGAGCAATTTAGCGAGTTTCGAGCATTTGATAAGGCATTCGATAGTGTGGTTTCCTGCTTCAAATCGCAAAAGTTGGACTTGCCCATAGTTTATTCACCAGTACAAGAATTGACAGATTATCATGATGTGCGGACGTACCAAAAAGCGGCAGCTAAGTCGTTGGAACGAGCAATTAAGGTGAAATAAAGTGATACATTTTTAAGTAACAAGATGTATGTAGATACTTTTGTATCCAATTTTTTATAACTTATCTCATTTTGTAGGCTGGCTTCAAGTCGCCCATGTTGATCGTGCCCACAAGTCACCGCTTCTCCAATGCTGAACTTTGTACTGTGCTAGGTGCTTTGGATCAATTATATGTTGTAAGTATCAGTGTACAGAATTTGAAGTTGGAAATCTATAAACTTTGTAATTTGCAGCCAATTCAACTGCGAGAGGATGTCCCTGCACATGCCAAGCAAATTAAGGAGTTATCTGTGCTGATTTCCAAACCTAATGCTGAAGATATTTTAAAGGAAGCCTTGGTCTTAGAATCTGGTCGAATGGTTGCCCGTGATATTGGTGAGTCCGTGAGAGAAAGTTAGTTCTCTATTTTATTTTATTTTTTAAACTACGCGGAAAAAAAGACAAAGAAATGGTGTGGAATTTACTTCCACATTTTAAATTGTGCTGTGCTGCTTCCGTCAATTGGCAATGCTGCTAGTTGTATGGGCGTGTACAGTTTTTATTTTTACCAAAATGCCTAAAAGTATGCAACAAAATACTAAATGACTATTTG